CAATGACAACAACCCTATCGGGACCACCATTGTCCCGGAGGAGTGCTGGATCAAGATCTTGCAGTGTTTCTAAGATACGGTCATAATTCAGCTCAGGTAATCAGACCGGAGAATCTACCCATTTCCCCTGGTTACCGTTTAGGTTAGTTCTGCACCATGGTTTTTTTTTTTTTTTTTTCTGGCTTGCAAGGTGATAGCTCAGGATTTGTTGAGAACTTCCTGATTGATGAGCCAACTCTGCAGTCCTTGCTTCCTAGTTTAATTAAGACTCTTCTGTGCTGACATCCACTACCGCCCGATAGTGCGGGGTGTGAGCTTTGTGCATGCTAGGTAAATTTACCACTGAACCAGATTCCCTCCCCTCCCATGAACAAAACTGAGGAGAGAGAGAGAGAGAGAGAGAAAGAGAGAGAGGGGGGGGGGGGGCGAGTCTGTTCTTGATCCAGGTCTACGACAGCTCCTTTGCAATCTCAGTTCTGGACTTTGTGAGTACTTTTCCTCCACGGTAGGAGAGCACTATGGCGACTAAGAACCTTGCCTCTTGTCACCCTTTCCTTAGGCTGCCATCTCTGTTTAATCCTCCTTAGTATTTAAATAGCTAATCTAGTGACGGCGACTTGTTAACAGTACATACAGGTCGCTGAGTAGCTTCAAAGAGACCCACACAGTCTGCACCACTGTTTACTGGTGTTCCTTTAGTGGCCCCTTATAGGACTTGCCCCTTGCTAATAATTAACACATCTGTTGAGGTCGTCGCCAAAGGGATTAGGAAAGGATCTCTGTGTCCAGCGAGTCTCATGACATTATCTTGCCCCCTGCATTGGAAAGACCGATGGAGAAAAGCCGTTTGGAAAACTAGTTCAGTCAGATCGATGCTATGCATCAGAAGACATGTGCTTATTTCGTCAGTACATTTCCACAAGGGTCCTAACATGTGTCTTGTTCTGTTCCAGACAGTGATAAATACGAGCCCCTTGCCGCCATGGAAACGGCATCATTGTGGCGTGGTAGGCTAGATGGAAAGAGAAGACCTATTGCACGTCAGGAGGAGATAAGCTAGAGGGAATGTAAGGTGTAGAAGGGCTCTGGGGTGCAGGGGTTGTGCTTTGCCTCTTACCAAAGCCAGGCCAACAAAACCAAAGCCCGTGGATAAAGTAGCCTGTGTGTGCAGGTCTGTCTTCCCCAACAAAACGGGCTTCGTTAACCCGCCTTTGTGCAAGGGCACAGCCAAGACTGAGGCTAACATGGTCAGACGGCAGGCTTGCCCGGGCAGTGCCAGCTCCACAGACAACAGCTTCCTGGAGGCATTGGCACCCTTTTTATCAGGACATTCGCACACAGCTCCTTGAGTTAAAGTCTATTAAATATCAGCTTACGGGAGCGTGGACCCTCACTCTGTTGCTCTGAGAAAGGCGTGGGGCACATTGGCTCTGTATTAAGACGCTCCACACGGACTTAGACTTGCAGTTTCCACAACAGTGCAAGCAAACCTAGCTGCAGTTCTCCAGTGGCGCATATCCATATCCACAATCCCTGTTTACGCTCAGAAATCCCCAACAGCTCCAAGCACTGCAAGCTTTTGAGGGGCACTCTCCTCCAAGCAAGCCGATTTGGCTGGCACTCATCTGAAGGTCAGCTTTAGCTGTATGTATAGTTTTTGCACCTATTTTTGGCTTTTGGCGTTTGCGTCTCTGCGATTATGTGACACATGTGTGTGATGTGGGTGTGTGCCACGTAATGTATGTGCATATGCATGCCTGCACATGTGTGTCCACACAGGCGGAGGCCAGGATAGGACACCACAAGCCCTGCTTTACCGATTTCTACCGTTTTCCCCTTGATGCAGGGTCTCACTGAACCCAAAGCTAGGTCGGCGGCCAGCAGACCCCAGAAATTCTTCTCTCTGTGTCTCCCCCAGTTCTGGGCTTACAGGTGCTTGTGTGGCCACCACACCTAAAAAGGCTTTGCTGGGGACCCAAACTCAGGTCCCCATGGTCGCACAGACGGTGCTCTTACTTGCTGAGCCATATTCCCGGCCCCTGGTTTTTACATTCACTGCACAATGTGCTATTTATCTGTGTCACTAAGAAGCCACCTCCACATTTGATCAAGGTGGTGGGTCATACACGTGAAGTAACATGCGATACGAGGAATCATGCAATCAGTTTCTTTTTTTCCAGAGCTGTCTTTCCTGCAGTACGTCTGGTCTCGAGTATTTCCATAAAGGAACAGAAACACACGCCACGTGCTGTCGGGATCTCACTGCTGCCTTTGCTCTTCTCGTAGAGACAGAAGACACGAGTGTAGGACGCTTCCTGGCTCTGCCTCCTAGGTGTCTGGAGCCAGTGGGTTCGACCTGCCACGCCCACTTATCTTAGCCTGTGTGGGCAGCTTTGAGTGGATGTCCTGTGGCACCTGTTCAAAGCCGTGGCTTCGGTCCTATTTCTTCCTAGGTAGAGTTCAGCCTCGGAGAAAGGCGCTGTGATGTGGGTGTCATTGGGTTTCTGTCCTGTTACCTTTGTGCTGTGCTTCTTTGGCAGAAGATCATGGACTGAGTAATTAATAAGGGTAGGGAATTTGCTGCTCACAGCTTTGGGGGCTGGGAATACTGATATCAGGTATGTCAGCCTCTCATAAGTAGCTTTCTTCATGCATTGTCCTGTGGTAGGAGGTGCTTCTTATATAGGAAGAAAGGGCAACAGGAAAGAAAGGAGAAGGAAAGAGAGAGACAGAAAGATGCACAGACAGAGACAGACACACAGAGAGACAGACAGAGATAGAGACAGAGACAGACACAGAGACAGACAGACACAGACAGAGACAGAGACAGACACAGAGACAGACAGAGACAGAGACAGACAGACACAGAGACAGACAGACACAGAGACAGAGACAGAGTGTGGGTGGAGATTTAGCCCATGTCTCCCTTCCTTGTCCTAAAGCCGCTGATGCCACCATGACGTCCCTTACTTCACACTCATCTAACTATACATACTCCCCAAAGGCCACCTGTAAGCACCACTCAATGTGACGTTGACAATTAAGTTTCCGACACATGGATTTTTTCGGGGACACACTTAAGCTCTGGCCATTCCGCCAGTGACGGGCAGTGGGAATTCGAAGGCAGAATTTAGGTGAATGGCTACGTGCACCACTTCAAGATCAACCCACTCCTGCAAAGACAGCAGAATCCTCCGGGTGTGATGGCTAAAACCAGGAAGAGCCTGAGAAGTCCAACTGGGATCCCCACTGCGCCACCGTTATTTTTAGGATTCAAGATCATCCTCAGCTATATAGTGTGCTTAAGGCCAGCCTGGGCTACATGAGACTACACCCCCCACACCCCCCTGTCAAAAACAATCAACTTCTATTTTGTTGAGCTATTATCCTTCTATGTAAAACTTTCAAGGTTTTTTCATTATGAAGGGATGTTGAATGTTATCAAATGCACTGTCTGTACCTACTGAGAGGAACCCATTATTTTAAAAAAAGATTTGTTATTTTATTTTTATTTTTTTTGGTTTTTTGAGACAGAGTTTCTCTGTGGCTTTAGAGGCTGTCCAGGGACTAGCTCTTGTAGACCAGGCTGGTCTCGAACTCACAGAGATCTGCCTGCCTCTGCCTCCCGAGTGTTGGGATTAAAGTCGTGCACCACCACCGCCTGGCCTTTATCTTATTTTTATTGATGGATATGTGTTATGCGTGTGGGTTTGCACACATCAGTGCAGGTGCCATTTGCAGCCAGAAGAGGGCACAGGGTCCCCTGGAACTGGAGGAGGTTGTGAACCACCTGATGAGGAGCTGGGGATCAAAGTCAGATCCTCTGAGAGAGCAGGACCCACTCTTTTTTTTTTTTTTTTTTTTTTTTTTTCAAGACAGGGTTTCTCTGTGGTTTTGGAGGCTGTCCTGGAACTCACTCTGTAGACCAGGCTGGCCTCGAACTCACAGAGATCCACTGAGCAGGACCCACTCTTAATCTCAGAGCCATCTTTCCAGCCCTCACTCAGCCATTCTGTTGACACGATGAATGGCATCTCTAAATTTGTATGTGTTGAATCATAATTGCAACCCTGGTAGGAAACCAGCTTGATAACCGTGAATGATCCTTTTGACACGCTGTTACATTCAAATCCTTGGTTACATTCAAATCCTTGGTGTTTTGTTAAGACGTTTTGCACCTGTATTCATCAGGTATATTGGCCTATAGTTGTTGTGACCTTTGATAAGAGGGAAATACTGGCCTCAAAGAATAATTTTGGGAGGGCTCCCTCCCTTTCAGTTCCACAGAATGGTTTTGAGAAGATTAGGTGTTTTTCCTTTTAGACCAGAACTCCCTTCTCTTTGTGGGGAGGTTCTCTGATGGGTGGTCCCAGGAGATTCCTAGCCCAGAGAATTCCGTAACGTTCCCCTCTTTCACATCCTGAATTTTCTTTCCCCATCTGCAGTCTCAAACACCTTACTACAGCATCGAGGCTCAAGACCTTATCATGAATTAGAAAAGCGGGGTGGGGGGGTGGGGGGTGGGGGGGCTGTGGGGGAGGATTCAGGTTCCTAGCATCTTCGGGGGAAGGGAGAGAGAAACTTCTGGTGAAGAACTCTTTCCCTGGCTTTGCTCCCATCTGGAACCCACGGAAATGGGAAGGCAGCAAGCCCACCTCCCCGGTTCTTTCCTTTAGGGTTTATACCTTTGCTGTAGAACGAGAGGCTGGGTTCCACTCAGGACCAGAGGCGCCCAAGTCTCCTTCATGGTGAGGTGAGGTAAGTCTAGAATTAGGCACTGACGTATGTGATTGTGATTGTGATTTAAATGGCACGGAAACTTGAAGCTGTTCCCGAAAAAAAAAAAAAAAAACCGCCAAAGTGGCCAGTAAACTCAGCCTTTTCATTAAAAATCCACAAAAGCCACAGAAAGGCTATCATTGGCCAGGTTCCCAGGCCACCCAAACAGGCTGGGAGGTGGGGAAGACAAACCCCGCCCAGAGGACTCCTGGTCAACTTCTGAGACAGAAGAGAACCAGTCCGTTTCTTCTAGGCGTTCAAGAGGCAAGCTGCGTTCTTTAGCCTTACACCCGGGCCTGCGCATCAGGGTTGAGTTCTGGTTGCGAATCTAAGAGAAGCACGAACCCTAGACGAAGAGCCCAAGGATCTTAGAGGGAAGGGACAAAGCTCTTGGGGCCGGCTGGATTCGCATCAGGCGAAACCTTCACCTCCTGAGCCGGGAGTGGGGTGTCCTCTCGGAGGGGGCTTGGCAGTCCCTGTCCCTCACCCCTGAGCAGCGTCGAGAAGAGTGATTCGCCATGGCTGAGGCCGCGGAGCCCAAGGAGGTCTCTCAGGGTCCCCATGGGCAACCTGAAGGTGCGAGGATCGAGGGACTAGGAGAACCTGGGGCTGCGGACCCGCAGGGGCAGGCGGCGAGCAAGGAAGCTGCAGAGGCGCCCGAGGACCAGGGGGCGGGCGCAGAGGCGAAGGCCTCGGGGGAGGAAGAAGGAGGCTGCGGGCAGGACGAAGGGGTCGGGGGAGCGCAGACGCAGGACTCGCAGACCGGCTCGGGGACAGAGACTCCGAGTGCCGGCGGAGCGCTGGGTGAACCGGAGGCTGCAGAGCGCGACCCAGAGGGCGCCGGGCTTCCGCAGGGAACAGAGGAGGAGCCGGGCGCCCAGCAGGTGCGAGAGCCGAGCCCCGGGCTAGACGAGCAGGGTGAGGCCCCCGATGTCTCTGGGGACGATCGCCAGCAGCGGGAGGACCCCATAACCCCAGAGGCGTGTAAAGAGGTAGAGTCCAGTCTGGAAGTGCAGGGGGGCAGTGCACCAGGGTCGCAGATCAATACGGAAGCCCAGGGACCCGCAGGGGAGAGCATGGACACAGATGCACCCGCAGGAGAGGCTCACGGGTCAGAGGGTGAGCCCCGGGGTGGAGGGGAAAGCAGCCCCCAGCCTCAGGCTGAGGAGACTGAGGTCGCAGCCGCAGAGGTCGGAGGGCACAACCCCGGGGAGCTGGCGGGAGCTCCAGCCGAAGATGCCGCGGAGGGAGCGGGAGCCCTGGGGAAAGACGAGTCGGAAGAAGCTGCTACGGAGGAGGCGAGGGTAGACGCTAGCGAGAATGGCAAGCAGGGCGGGCTCCAGGAGGAGACCGGGGAGGAAGAAGCGAGGCCAGAACCCGGGCTGGAGGGACGCTGCGGGGAGAAGCGTTCCGACGGCAGCCCTGACCAAGAGGAGGCCAAAGCTGCCGGCCACGAGGAGCCCCAGGCGGAGCTCAGCAACCACCTCGCCGAGGAGCCCAGCGCTCAGGGAGCAGAAGAGCTGGGGCGCGTGAATGACCGCAGGGAGAACGGCCCGGCACCCGAGGTGGAGGACCCCGGACAGGAGCATGACATAACTCTGTTTGTCAAGGTAAATCTGGCACCCCCAGGCACAGGACTACCCTGTCGTTCTAATGCAGGCCCGTGCAGAACCAAAACCGTGCACGCTTCCATCCATCAGCCAGAAGGGAAAGCTAAGATTTGGGAAACGCTAGGGCTGTGGATGCGGTTCAGAGGTAGAGCGGGTTTGCCTAGCATGTGAGACGTGCCAAGTAACTTCCCAGTTACTGCACAGGAGCCCGCAGTGCGCACCTGCAGGGGGAGGTTTGGGAGTCAGGTCTGCGATATTACTATTGATGTCCCATTGTCCCTTGTCCTGAACATCCTAACTGGCCCGTCCAGTCCCAAGGTTATTAAAGAATTAGGAGGAAAACAAAAGTGGCCCGCCTTATTGGTCTTCAAAAGATTACTGCCAAAGGAGCCCTTAATCCCTGAAGTGAAAAAATGTGAACGGGTAGGTTCAGTGTAAGAATTCCCAGACTTAACTTCCAGAGGCTGAGGGTTGCCCAACATTTTCAGCTGCAAAAAGATAATTTCGTTTTGTTAGAGCAGATAGTGTGCTTTGGGGGTGGGGGGCAGTGAAAAGTCTCTTATGCTGCCCTGTTTACTGGACATTTTAAGATTTACTTTGGAAGAATTAACCATGCTGGAGACTTGAACATCATTGTGTAGTATGAGCTCCCTCTAGTCAGGAGGAAAGCCACGATTTCACTTTTGAAAGAGTCCATAGACGCACAAGGAGGAAGTTTTGAGTGTAAACAGGTAATTTTTACAAGGCTTCAAAAGAAAAAAAAAGGTGGACAAAGTCCAGCAGCGGCTCACACCGAAAGCTTTGTTTGAAAAAAAAAAGTTCTTCTCGGGACCTTTGCAGAGACCCCAGGAAGCTAGAGATAATAAGATGAGGAATGTGTTTCATGTAGAACCCTAATCCTTCAGAAGTACTTTCAGGCTTACCGGAGGTACTTGGGTCTAAACCTCCTTGGCTGGCAGAGATTGTAATAAGTAAAGAGAAAAATGTTCCCAGGAGATCAACGTCAGGGTTTAACCAAGTGTCTGGACGGCTAGGATCGGCCCGTGCTTCTAAACAGTGAGATGGTTCCCCACTCCCGGCTCTGTTTTGCAGACCCTGGAGAGTGTGAAAAGTGATGGAGTCCATCTTGAGAAGGCCCAGCCCAGGCTAGTCCTGTAGGGACTGGAGTGCATGAGCTGGGTGACTGCCGTCTGTTTCCCATGGGGGGACATTTTGCATTGTTCTGATCGCATGGCTGAGGCAGTCCGGCCAACCTGCTCGGGTTGCAGTTATGAAGCAAACCAAGGCTCTTACTGATTCCTCCGTTTCATCGTCTGTTTATGGTAGAGTTTCAAGTAAACCCAACTTCCTGGCCCAGGCTCAAGCCCTTCGTGCCTCAGTTTCCCCCTCCTTTTTCTCTGGCCTTCCCTTGGCACTGTGGGGTGGTCCATGTCACTGATGACACTGCAATGCTGGTTCTATGCTATAGAGAACAACCGCAGTCCGGGTCCTGCCAACCTTGAAAACTGGCACCCATTCCACCCTCTGAGTGGTGTCCCCCACGAGCGCCCTGCCCCTCCCTGCCTCTGCTTGGTTGTGAACTGCATCTTCATGTCCTCTTCCCTGGACAGACTGAACGCGTCGTTACATCTCCCGTGCAGGCTGAGGCATGCACGTGACAAGGCTTTGAATGAGGAACTGGCCACTGGGTCTGCATCAAATCCTGGCTTTGTCACTTTCTTGATGCTGGTTGTCTGATTTCACAGTAGCATGGCACCTGCCTTGGAGCTGTGCGACGCTCTGCGTTATCATAGTGTCAGGGACTGTGCTCACTGCCGCCTTTTCTTTCTTCACTCCAGCTTTCTTTGATGTGGCGCCTTCCGCGCCCGGCCATTTTTAAGGGAGACTCCCTCTAGGTGTTGAGTTTTCATTTGCTAGGGACTAGGGTGTTGTGAAAACTCAATGTATCTTTGTGGACATTGTGGTTGGTATAGACAAAGGTCAGGTTGCACGGAGGGAGTCGCCCATGGTGGGTGTCCCTAGGATATGGGTTAGCTGACTCCCAACTCCCTGTTTGTCTTTACTCTTCTCTGAGAAAACAAACAGATCTCCCAACAGTGAGGTCAGGTAGCTTCTGAGGGTCACTTAAGACCTGCCTCATGGTGATAAGGCCTCTTGGTTTCTGCTATCTACTAATCACTCCCTCTGCAAAACAAAGAAGTAACAAAGAAGCCCACAGGAACAGAGAAACCCATAGGAACAAAGAAGCCCAAAGGAACAAAGACACCCAAAGCAACAACAACAAAACCTTGTCGTATCTTCTAGATTTGCCACATTGTGTTGGAAAAACCCAGAAGATGGGTCAGAATTACATTTTGTTGCCAGTTCAGGCTTGTTTAAGTTCTTCCCAGACCTCCTTGCAGGTGGACCCTGCAGTCCACAGCCACAGGCTAATCGGCTTCATCAGGGAGTTAGGTCACGTGCTCAGGGTGGTTTTCCTGGGGCCCAGCTGACCTGTTGAGCTCCTGGAGATGTTTGAAGTATGGCTTTTGGCTATAGCATAATTCTTCCCAACACTGCACTTTTACCCCTTTTCTTATTTTTTAATAAATAAATATATTAGCTATAATATTTTATCTATTACCATATGTAAATTTATTTAAAAACAATTTATTGTAATATGCACTAGAAGGTACCCTAATGACACAGACTAGTGATAACCATAGCTTTAAGTCGGCTTATGATTTTGGCCATCTGGTCAATTTATTGTTTATCGTTACGAGAGTTATCATGTTAACAACTTGTCATTTATTTTATTCTATGAATGCACAAGGATGTATTCTTGTAAAGTAGCTATGGCCATGTGCATCACAACAAGGAAGACTCCCTTGAGTCTTTGTGCGTCAAATTAATGGCTAATCATTAATTGCTAATCTTTTCTTTCCTTAGAGAAGAGATAAGTAGGTCACCAAACTATAGGGTGATTTTCCAAATATATTTATTAAGAGGACTGTTTTTCTCTTTCACTCAGGACTAGGAAAGAACTTCATGAGAGCACATACTGGGGGGTGGGGGGGTGAGGGGGTGATCAACAAACTAAATACCCACAGTGGTTTAATGGTCAGGGAAGTCTGGTTCACAGCACAGTTTGAAATCCAGCTTGTGTTTTCTGAGTCAGGGTTAGGGCTGGGCGAGTCCGAGATATGGCTTTTCTGACACATCTTGCATAACATAAAGATCCTCCATATGACTAGTGAATGACCCTGGGTCAGAGGCCATGGATTCTCAAGTATTGTGTTTTCCACAACTCACATTGAATTAGAAAATACAGGTGTAACAGCCTGTGGGCTTGCCTGGACCATCAGGGAAAAAAAAAAAGCTAAACTGAAATTTGATGAAAGTAAATTAAAACTCAAGGAAGATGTAGCTTTGGGCTATGTCATCAGAAGTGCCAAAAATAAACAAGCTATAGAAGGCCGTCAAGCACTGTAACACCACACAGCTGGACAGCACTATGCCAGGACCTGCTTCTTAGAGACTACTGGTCGACCAGCAGGCTGGTGCTCCCTGTGAACATTCTGCCTGGCGAGAACATGTTGAGACCTGTTCTGTGGAGCTTGGTCTCTAGGGAACCTCCAGGGGAGATGTTATTTTCCCACCAGGGTGAGCACTACGTGTTCTCTCTCAAGGAGAATGAACAAGAGAGCACCCCTACAACTTTAATCTTCTCACTCTTTGTTTTCTGATTATCTTCTAAAATTGCCTTGAAAGTGACATACACAAAATCAGCAGTGTTGCTTACCAGAGTGATGAGGATGATGTGCGATTTTTCTTCTTCTTCTCTCCTACAACTGTACAGGCACACAGCGGTGGGGTAGAGGAGGCAGGTAGCCACACCCCTCACCAATCTGAATGAGATAGGGCCTACTTGTTTCAACCCTCCGACCTGGCCCTCCAACTTCACGCTCCTCACTTCGTCCCTGCTTTGGTGACGCTCATGCTGAAGGTTTCAAGGTGACTGATAGTGAGAAGCAAGCTCTATACACAAGCCTGGGTCTCCACAATCCCAGCCCAGCATCCCCTTGGAAGAAGAATAAGATATATTCTTTCTGGGCACGTGTTAGCTGTAGGGCTATGGATGCTGGGACTCGGGGTTGAGGCATCTGTTTTCTGCTCCACTGCTGATGCCACCGAGCCTCATGGGAGCAGTGGTGTCTCCTGCCCAAGCCCCTCCACCTCACCTGAGGTCTCTTAGGGCCCAGATTCCACACAGCCAACATTTCTCAGTGTGGCATGCTCGGCTGCCCCGTCTCTGGGAGCGTTGGAAAGAAGCAGATCCTTTAAGTGTTTCACCCTTGCATTTTAGATACATAGGTAAGACCTAAAAATTGAAGGACCATGTAAAAACCCAGATGCAGGTTAATGTTTTTGGGTCAGGTGATATACTGGGCGTCAGGATAATCTGTTATCTTGGAATACACAAAGTACTGTATTTGGACACCAGATTAGAATCCGAGCGCATTGGGGCATGTTTTAAAATACTGTAAACAAAAGACCCGAAGTTACCGTAACAATATGCTGGACTTTGTGCTGTTTATAAAGCAGAGAAGTTTATTTGGTTCGTGGTTCTGCAGGATGGGATCAAGAGCATGGTATTTGCTTCTGGGTGGCTGTGTCATAACACGTTAGAGGTGTCATTAGATGAGACAACAGGTCTAGTTACTGTCTCTTTCTGCTTGACCAGTGTTGTCCTGAGTACCTCACCCCCGTGACCTCATCACCCTATCCGTCTCCTAAAGTTGGCCTCCGAATAGACCAACATGTGAATTTGGGGACCAAGTTTTCAGCACTTGAACTTTAGGGGTTACATTGATACTGTGGCCAAAAAGCAAGACCACGAAGGTCCTTGTCCTCTCAGAGCGTATTAGCACGGAGGACCGACGCTCGGCAGGCTACGCAGATGGAGCTCTCCAGTAGCCTGGGAGCTGATGTGTAAAAGACCCTGCGGTTGTTTCTTTCCC